AGAGAGAGAGAGAGAGAGAGAGAGAGAGAGAGAGAGAGTGTGGAGTTATATGGGAATGATGGTGAAAAGATAGCGGGGTGGGAGTGAAAAGTAGAGACATAAAGAATATGTGCAGCCAAGCAGACAATTGAAAAACAGCAGCAAAATTTGCCCAGTTTGTATTGTACCCAAATGCGCTAAGAGACCAGCAGTGTTTTCCGCATTGATGAAAAGCTAATAATTCGCATCACGACCACCCAACTTCCTCGAGCCTTGTATCCACTCGCAGCCCTCCTGCCATCGTCTCCTCCGTATAGCAGGGTTGATCTAATTTGGCTAACCGACAATAGAAGTGGACAAATACTGCTTCAGTAAACGGAAAGTCGGCCAGAACTACGAGCTCTCTCTCTCTCTCTCTCTCTCTCACGCACACACACACACACACACACACACACACACACACACACACACACAGAGAGAGAAGATATTAACTAGACGGGGCAGGCAACTTGCTGAACAGATCATCAATGATAAATTACGACTGAAGGGTTCTACCAGGAATGAACCTATAATAAATCGGAGTCCTTCTCTAGACATCTTCACCTCCAAACAAAGCATCAGCATTGTACTGATTTTCACTCATTCATCAGGTATTCAGACCATGCGATGGCAACCAAAGAACAAAACCTGAGGTTGCTTGATAGTTAGTATCGGAGATACACAGTGGCAGGGCCAGCCCAAAACAAAATAATGTCTGTTGGCACTGGAGATGACAGGGAGCGGGAAAGCGGCAGGAACAGAAGACGCAGAAAGGTGGGGGGAGGTCATCAGGCAACCCCTGTTTGGCAACAGGAATATTACGAACCAAAACGGGCAGGAGTTTCAGAGCTCGGCCCCCGCTGGAACGTCTGGATCAAATGAGAGGTACTGTGAATAAAGGACGTTTGGAACCGAACTGAAAAGGACTGGAAAGATGCGCAGCAGTTGACACTGTCCTTGAAACGCTGCCACAATCTGGAACAAACCACGTTCTGCATCCCACTGCACTGGGTATGCATTTTGCTCAAAGGAGCGGCTTCATGAAAGTTATTGGGTGGCAATTCGGGGGGGACAGGAGAGGGTGGGGACTGTGGTGGAAGTGCAGGAGGATGCAGCACTGATAACCCTGACAACGAAAACATGCTCTCCAGACTCTCCCCGGGTGCAATGGGATGATATGCGAAGCAACGACTCCTTTAGGGTACTGCCAGCAAAAGAAACCTGGGTGGCCTTCCTCCCGGACACCCAGCAGTCGGATCTGCCTTTTGATTCGGAAGAGTGGCAGTGGCCCTCTTCATCCAAAAGTAGGAAAAGAAAGAAAATACATCTAGCCAATCTGAGGTAAGGATGCTGCGCCCTAAAGTAAACCTCAGAGATATTGTTAGGAACCAATGGATGACGCATCAAAATGTTGGGAGGGATGCAATCCCACCCATCCGTTGGTTCACAGCAGCCAGGTCCGAAGACTCGGAACCAGCCAAACTGGTCTCTCTGCAGTGGCACATAGAGCACCGTTGTCTATCCACCAACGGCTGGCTAGTAGACCGCACAAATCTGGAACAGAAGGGGGTGGCACTTCGACACATATTCTTACAGTGCCGGGGCACAATCCTCACATGCCGCTGGTGAGACCGGATATGGCGCCGAATGGGAACTAGTGCCGCCTGGCCATGGGAGTGGAGGCGCATGGTGCTCTCCGCAAGATAGCACCCAAACTGGGGAGGAGAGCTGTCCTCTGGACCCTCTGGCGAAAGCGATGGATACATGTGATGGAGGACATGCGGGTGGAAGGTGAGGAGTTCACGGAAACGATAAAATAACAACTCCAGATGGTGGTCAAAGGTGAAGGCACAGCTGGATCTATATCACACTACGAAAGACATTCAACAACCGATCAAAAGGTTCTCAGAAGAATGGTTGGGGGGTGACCAAGGGGGCTGGATCGCCAGTATCCACTGCGGGAAAGAGACCAACCGGATGAACACGAGTTCAGAAGAGACTACAGCTTAGTGTTCAAGGACTGGACCAAGATCAGCCCAGCAGTACCATCGCGGCCCCCTGCAGAGTTCCCAGACCTATCCCGCCCCACCAACTGTCGATGATGGATATGCAGTGGTACAACGACAGCGGCTGAGATGAAGTTGAAGAAGACAGGACACAGCCAGAGATACTTCTTGTCTATCCGGCGGCCACAGGAGCTGAATAGGCTGTGTACTTGTCGCATATTCTTTCGGTCTGATGACTCTTATAGCTGAAACAGGGTAATGGCCCCGGGGAAGAGGTTGAAAAGATTGTACAATGGGTCGCTGGACCCGGTTTCCAACAGGTGCAGCTCCTCACCAATAGACAGGAACATCCAGTGGCGGGCCTGCTAGAAGGAGAAGCTCATATCACCCCTTCTAGCTGGCCCCATCTGGGTTTCAAAAAAAAAAAGAGCAGCAGAAGACCCGGATAGAACAGAGGAAGCAGGCACCACGTGCATGCCCTGAGTCATGGTGCTGTCACAAGGAGTTGACAGTGCCACTGGATGTAGATCCAAACTTCCCCGAAGACACACATCGCTGTAGAGAAACAGACAAAGCAGTGCTGATACCCCTATTAGCCAGTGTTGCATACCCTGACGGTCGGCGGCCCTTGACTGGTCGGCTGGTCGGCTGGTCAGCACTACCGGTTGGGGGTCGTCGGCACCCCGAAAAAATAAAAATAAAAAAATCCAGAACCCCTAACACACCGACACACCCATACCCGCCCCCAATACCCCCATACACCCCCCCCAACACCCCAAACCGCCCCCCAACACCCTCGTTACCCCTCAACCCCCCCCCAAAAAACCCTATACCACCCCTATACCCCCCTATACCTGTCTCTTATACACATCTAGATGTGTATAAGAGACAGAGAGAGGATTGATCCTGGCCAATTCCTTGAGAATAGCAATATGGTTGTGTATAGGTTGCGGCTATTTCTGTACTTGTCCAACGAGCGAGTAGTNGTACATTACTACATTCCCCCCCCCACGCTGCCCCCAAAAGAAGAAAGTCTGAAAAAAAATGAAAAAAGAAGATCCTACTTTCAGAAAGAAAACAGCACCCGTCAGAACGGGCGCCTGCAATGACTCTGGGGGCTTTGGGCCTCGCTCCACTACTCACCAAATGCAAAATGAAAATTTTCTGTCTTTTGTGCATGTGGTGAGTAGCTGTCTCTTATACACATCTAGATGTGTATAAGACACAGGCCCCCCACGCACCGTCCTTACCCAAGACTGAAGTTTCGCAACCGATTCGGGCTGTACTCAGCAAGCCCAGTACAGCCCCCAACTCAGATTTGAAAAAAATTATTGGATGGCTGTGCTCCTGTCTCTTATACACATCTAGATGTGTATAAGAGACAGCCCCTATACCCCTCTATGCGCCCCCAATAAGCCAACCCCAATCATCCCATAACCCCCCCATCCCCAAAAGTTTCTCAGCGGATTTGGGCTGTACTCAGCAAGCCCAGTACAGCCCCGAACTCAGATTTGAAAAAAAATTAGTGGATGGCTGTTTTCTGACTGGTCAGCAGACTGCAGATCGGTCGGCCCTACTGGTTGGCTGTAAAACGGTTGGCGGTTGGCAGGTATGCAACCCTGCTATTAGACGAAAAAAGGGACCTCTAATCGAAACGGTGTCCAGATGTGCAGTTCTGGCCCAATAATCCAGCATACACCTGAAAATTGATCGGCAGACTAAAGCAGTACATCAATATCTTTTGCATTGGAGAATGTAGCGTCCTCCCTTTTACCCTCCTGTCCCTACTTTCCCCACCCCTGGTACGTTGTAAAGCACTCATGGAGTGTACCATTCAGTTGGTCAATCATTATGCGCACAGTTGATTTGGGCAGCCTCAAAGTGGCACTCTGCAAATGAGAATTCAGGAGGTTCCAAAGCACACACCTGGGGCAACATTGACCCGGCGCACCACTGCAGGGTTCAAAGCACACACATGGAGCAAGCATTGCCTGGTCGCACCATTGCAATCACCTCGTCGTCTCCTTGCCCCGGTTCTTCTCCACATTATCCCCTCTCCTTCCAAGCTGACACATTTTAGCCTGCCATGAATGTCATTGTCAACGTGCATCCCATCAAGACCGGATGACATATGTAATTGTTGTGGATGCAATCAAATCTGGCTATGGCATCCACTTGTTTCCCTGTCTACCAGTGTCTCCAACCACAAAGTTCCAGCCTGTGCACCCTCTTTCCTTCCCGAACTACTTCCCTGCCCCTCCTTACACTCCTCGCCCCCYCTYTCCCCCYTCTCTCTCTCTCTCTCTCTCTCTCTCTCTCTCTCTCTCTCTCTCTCTCTCTCTCTCTCACCCACACCCACCCACCCACCCGCCCACACACACACACACAGAATGAACATATACAACAGCAAAGACCACGGTTCTGCTCTCAACTGGTTTCTGTCCCAGCTGGTTATGTGCAGAGACGAAACAGTACACAACGGAGATCACGTTGGGTGCCATCTACTCCTCCACAGGCGAAAGTGCAGCTGGATGGCAGGAGTAAAATCTACTACATCTCGTGGTGAAAATGAAGGATAAGGTGAAAAAAATGGCAAGGGGTAAGGAACTAAAAGTGAGGGGCCAATCAGGCAGTGGAGGCAGAGGATGCAAACGCTGTGAATCCTGCGCAGTGAAGCAATAACTACCATCAACATTTTCCTACCACTGAGGCAAGCCACCCTTCTGTTTTGGCTGAGATTATCCATGAAGCCTTGCTTTAATTGTTCCCCGACGATCAGAGGGCTTGCAGAACAATGCACCAGATAGCAACGCAACAGGCACTTGAGCCGGTTGGGAAGATCGAACCATCAGAAGGAGGCCGCGGGTGACTGGCTAGATTACTTTATTGACGGCGTTCCAGTTTCATCAAGCTGTGCAGGTTCGGTCTGCCATCAGCAATATCCACATACAATCAACCCTGCAAAGTGGGGAACTGGGAAACACCTGAAGAGGAACCTGGGGAGGTCCGGCCACAAAGGATTGAAGGGTATGCAAGACAGAATACACGGTTAGGATGCAGCGGCACTTTGTGCGACTTGTGGGTTCGAGTCCTGTGCCCACAACAAAGAGGGGGACATATATTCAACTGAGGCTGAGGCCTGAGAGGGCTCTGTATCTCTGCCTTGCCGCTGGCTTATAAATCTATTATCATGAATGAAGATGTCTGACAAGTCGTTAAAAGTGGGCAGACCAAGAAGACAAGACAACATCATGCCAGTGAGAAGGCACTTGAACGAGGGGACTGGCCGCTGCAACAGTGTTGCTACGGTTAGCAAGTTCCTAACAGAATGAATGCCACAACTAAGAGTTGTGGGTCTACAAGAAAGCATAACCCAAACACGAGCACACTGAGCCTGCAGCCTGCTGGCTACAGTGATCATACAAAAGATCTATCTGGCTTGGTCCTACAGAGGGGAGGAGGGGGGGATCCAAACCAAGTGACAACGTAGCATTGAAAACTGACAATCATATGAAAATTTCAATAACCTATACAAGATTGATCACATACCTCAGGTTGCCTGAATCCTACCAAGTGTGAGACCAGATGGCTTGGAAGTAGGTGGCATGGATCTTTGGAAGTAGAGTTCACAATGTCAGAAGAAACAATGTGCATGAAGATGGACATGAAAATGGTGCATGGCTGCTGCTGGATTGAAAATGCTATCCCTCCCTCTTCCAAAATCTTGCTTCCTACCAACAGTTGTCTGCAGGCAACTCCACTGCTCTGCCGGTGACTTTGGAGCTCTGATGCCATTTACATGCCGTGCTCGAAATTCAACCCCACATCACACTGTGCCGACCGCTTGCACTCCAGCACTAGCAGCACCTGACCAGTCCTCCGTAACTGGTATCCTGCAGAACTGATATTCTATAATTGGTACCTCCATAAGTGGTCCTCCATTAGCGGTCCGCCATAAGTGGTCCTTCATAAGTGGTACTCATTGCAGTTGATCAGCCGCAATGAACTCCATAACAAGGTGCCAAAACTGGTCCTCTTGAATCGGCTTTGGTATATAGCTGTCCATGCCCGATTCAATGCATTTTTCGCGTGTGCCCTGCATATTGTCACAACATTTGGCAGCATAGGTCAGCTACCACATTCAGAGATATCTTAGCACAGAACAGAATAGCAATGGTCATACATCCGTGGTCGGGAATCACGGGGAAACCACTAAGGGAGAGTAGGGGAGGAGTGTCCCGGCCTTCACACAAGATGCTACATGGGGAGGTGTCGCATACCGTAACGGTACAGACCAGAACAAGCACCGACCTCTCTCACATAGTACAAGATGGCACGGCGGAAGGCTTAAATACCAATGATCCGAACAATAAATGTTGAAATGCAGACCAGACATACATCATCATCATTCCATGGTGTGAAGGGGCCTGGCACTCGCACAGGAAGAATGCACCAGTCCCCAACCATACACAGACGAAGAAGAGGGGGGTTAGACGAAGAAGAGGGGAAGATGGGAATGTCGTCAACGCCAAGTCTTCGGTACAGGTCCCAAATAATCCCTCGTCAAATGTCTGAATCCCAATGTCGAGTCTGGATCCAAATGTCGTCAAGTCCCAAAGTCACCAATCTCTCTCTCGTAGTCTGCAGATACTGAGAAGTCAGGTAGCGAGAGGGTGAGGAAGAGATGGTGGACTTAGAAGAGGAAGAAGAAGAACTCTCTCTCCGGTACTAACCTGTGAAGGTGGCACCTTGTTGCAGGTACATCGAAGACAAAGCTGGAGCTATGGCGCCACAGGTAAGTTTCCCTGGCCTCCGCCAACCATCTCTCTCTCTCTCCAACGCTACTCTAGCTCCTACTAGCGCCCAGCGCTGAAGACTACTGCTACTACTACTCCTGCAGCGCTCCTCCAGAGTGCTGCTGCCGAATCCTGAAGACTACCTCCTGCCTCCTGCACGTGAAGTGCCTGGGAAGTCCCGATGAACTACCTCGTCACTACCTACAGGCTGCAGGGCGGGCCAGTCTTACATAGTGATGGCCCGTCCAGGAGGCTGCTCTTGCCAACGCCAAAACGTGCCAGACCCTGGCGTTGAAGTTCAAACGAGGGTTGTCTTGAAAACAGGCCCAAAATGGCCTGTGCTAAAACTCTGGTCTGGTGCCTAAGTTTCAGGGCAGGTCGATCTTATGAGGGCCTGAAAATGGCCCTCCGTTTCAGGCTGAAAAGACTCAGGGCCTGGAGGGCCCTTTTTAGGCTGAAAGGCCCTTGTTTTCAGGCTTTTAGGCTGAAACGACACAGGGTCTGTAGGCCCTTGTTTTCAGGCTTTTAGGCTGAGAACGCTGGCCAGGCCCTGCAGGCCCATGTGGCTGCGCAGTATGCCACAGGAGGTGAAATGTCAAGGAGAATTGCGATATTCTTTACAAACAGCAGGGGGAAGGAAGAGTGTGATATTCTTTAGACACAGTGGGGGCAGGTGGAGTGTTGTGTGAGGTTTAAGTGGGTCCCAAGCTGCTATCTGTCAAATAGTCAATGGGGGTCGTAAGCTGCCATACATACACACGTGAGGGATGGGTAGGAGAGTATCAAGGAGGATTGCAAGAAGGTGGTGAGGGGGGGTGATCCTTTATTCACACAACACAGGGGGCGGGAAGTGTTCATGGGAGTCGCAAGACGCTCACATGCAGAGACGGCTGGAGTGTCAAGGAGGGATCACCAGATGCTTTGCATCCAAGTTGGGTCTGGGGAGTATCAAGGAGGATTGCGAGAAGGTGGTGAAGGGGTGTGTCTAATGGGCTTCACAAGATCCTTTATTCACACAACACGGGGGGCGAGAAGGTGGTGAAGGGGTGTGTCTAATGGGCTTCACAAGATCCTGTATTCACACAACACGAGGGGCGGGAAGTGTTCATGGGAGTTGCAAGATGCTCACATGCAGAGACGGGTGGAGTGTCAAGGAGGGATCACCAGATGCTTCGGGTCTGGAGAGTATCAATGAGGATTGCGAGAAGGTGGTGAAGGGGTGTGTCAAAAGGGGCTTCACAAGATCCTTTATTCACAACACGGGGAGCGGGAAGTGTTCATGGGAGTCACAAGATGCTTACATGCAGAGAGGGGCGGAGTGTCAAGGAGGGATCACCAGATGCTTTGCATGCTAAGTGGGGTGAGGAATGGGCACTGTGATGGCTCACTCACAAGGGTGAGAGAGGCAGCCTCATCTGGGACGCCGTGGAAAAATGCTGGGCGATTTTTTAAGCTTTAGATGTGGCATCCAGACAGGGCCGGACGGAGGCCCTAAGTTTTCTTTTCCCGCCCTGCCCTCGTTTCAAAGCAAAAGAACCTCATTCTGGTATTCTGTCTTTTGCATAAGGCCCTTACTGAGCACTATCACACGCTCCCGTATCTTCCCGGGATAGGCTGCTTAGTACATTACTACATTCCCCCCCCCACGCTGCCCCCAAAAGAAGAAAGTCTGAAAAAAAATGAAAAAAGAAGATCCTACTTTCAGAAAGAAAACAGTGCAATCAGACTCGTTCTTATTCACACTTTTCATGCATGTAAACAGCAGCGCAGCAAACTGGCGACATGCGCCCACTCAAAACTCAGAGATATGGCTTCCAGATACGAGTTCACTTTCAACTGGCTATGGCAACTCACGCCCAAACAACTCACTGTTCACACACACCGGATCACCCTGGATATCCCACATGCGTCACTCTGAACACTCGCACATACACACACACACACTTCACACTAACTACAGCTATGGCAGCTATGGCTGCCTCTACCCTATCGCTATACTAAGCTCCTTCTCTCTCTCGCCCACTGCGTCCTCCGGGCTCACTGCAGACCTCCTTGCACAAGTCGCTGTGACAGCGCTTCCGCATGGCTCACGCAGGAATGAATGAAAGGCTGGGCGCTGCCTCTTGATTTATACTTCGGAAACTCGTTGGTCTGCCCATGGTGCTCACAGTCCCCCGTGGTACTTGCTGGATTGAACTGGGACTGACTGGACCTTACCGCTGACTGACTGTGGACTCACTGCTAACCTACCGTAGTCGTACTGCAATTGCACTGCAGTTTAGCCCACCACTTGACTTGCCCCTTGACCACTTGCCCACTTGCCGACCTTCTAGAAGGACTACAGCTAGACTTCTGGAACTGGCTAAGACTTCTACTCTATAGATCTACAGATCAAACCCCAGCTACCTATGGACCTATGACAGACCTACCAACTGTCTACAAATACACAGGTCACAGGTTCAACTCTCGGGGTCTACACAGATACTGTACATGGGTAGGGCGAGGTCTAGGGATCGAACCCTGGGTACTGCATCTGCTACTGCAAAAAGGTGAAAAACGTTTCACTCCCGCAGTCCTAAATTCGAGGTCCTCTGAGAATATTTCAGTCCAAGGCAGGACCTTTACCCTTCCTATCACGTTCATAGGCTCTGACTATGTCGGGAGCTGTTTCTAGAAGTTCTGTTCTCGTAAACCAGCGGTCGTCTTCCAGTTCTTGATAAGCAAACCGGACTTTATACTGTTTCTGGGGACGACCTCTACCTCCTGTTCTAAAGACATCTTCATCTACAATGCCGTCAATGTCATAACTTCCATCCATATCCGGGGGGATCATGGATCGTCTTGAAGGGAACTGTTGACTTGTGACACACGGCAGCAGCTTTGAAGCATGAAACACAGGGTATGTGTGGAGGTGTGCTGGAATTTCTATTGTGTAGGACGGTCCATCCTCTCCGCCCTTGACTTCTAGAACTGGCCACGGTCCTCTATATGCAGGCAGTAACTTCTGCGAGATGTTTTCCTCAG